TAGAGGGGAGGGGGGTGGGAGGATGGGTTAGCCTGGTGGTGGGTATTGAGGAGGGCACATTCTGCATGGAGTACTGGGTGTTATGCACAAACAATGAATCTTGGAACACTTCATCTAGAACTAATGATGTAATGTATGGGGATTAACATAAGAATAAAAAAAAAAAAGAAAAAAAAGAATCCTGTGAGTTTCAGAGGATGTAATGCTGAAAATCCATGGTACACAGTGATAAAGTTACTTAAACTAATGCTCATGGTCCTCTAAAATGGAGTGCCCATTAAAAACAAGTGTTTGCCGATAAGTAGCTGCTATGATAAATGTCTAAGGAGAGAATGAAGAAAGACCATTGGGTAGCATGTGGCTTTTAAATGTGCCAGAGAGCAGACAGGAAGAAAACAGTAAGCTCGGAGTTTTAAATTCCTGGCTCACAGCACAATGAAAGCACCAGACGTTTCTATAAATACCCTAAAATAATATACCTTATAACTACAAGGCTGATATAACTGACAATCAGATAGAGTTTGCTCCTGTGAGATGCTGAATTGCCCATAGGTTGAGCTCACTGTCTTGTCAGGAACCTTACATAGAAGTTAGTAGGATGATGAAAGGGGTAAACAATGGGGTCTGAATATCCTGAACCGCCTTCTACACCGGGCTCTTGTCAACAGAAGCTGTCTCCCCTGCTCTGTTTGGTGAGGTTGTTCTGGTCTTGCCTAAAAACTCTGGAAAAAGTCATATACAATGCAGTGTAATGCAGACAGCTGCCATCCACATCTGTATTGGAAAAGATTTTTAAGTTTTTCCATACAGGCACCTCCAGGAGGCCGCAGGAAGGTAGCTAACTCCACACTCTATTTAACATATGCCTCCTAGTCCATGTGGAGGACCACTTTCGCCTCTTGGAGGCCGTCTGCTCTCTTCCCACTGGAATATCCTGAATGAAAATTATAAATAACATATGAACAGCCAAAATATAGGATAATGATGTATTAGAGATGAACGGTGAAGAGGCAAGTTTTGTTTGACTGGACAAAAATGATATAACACCACCTGGTGGAACAGAACCACACCTAATGAACCAAGGACCTGTGTGGAATTTGTTGATGACACACAAGGTAACGAATTCAAACATTTGCCTTGAGTGTATCCAGGGCAGACAGCGCTGCTTCCAAGGCTGGAATTGCCTCGGCTAAGTCACTCTCACACTCATTTTTCAGAGCTTGGGCTTCTTCAGCCTTGCCACTGGCTATCTCTTCATCTAATTTCACGAACTTTCTTTTTGCTTCCACTTGTGCGGACTCTATCTCGATAATCTAAAGAAAGAAAAATAAATAAAACAATTCCTCCAACATCCTACTGCTTTCTCCATCCTAGAAACAAGAGAATGTTTGGAAATGAGGGAACCCAACAAATCATGTTGAAGAGCAGGAGGTCCCAGGATAAAATGAGGAGAAATGCAAATACATGTGACCTAACTGGATAATGGGCTTCCCACTTCCCTCCAAAATCAACACAACTGGGACGCCTGGGTGGTTCAGTCAGCTTGGCAACTGACTCTTGATTTTGGCTCAGGTCATAGTCTCGGGGTCATGAGATGGAGCCCTGTGTTGGGCTCCACCTTCAGCGCAGAGTCTACTCAGAATTCTCTCTCCCTCTTCCCCTCCCTCCCACCCCCTCCCCCTGCTCTCTAAATAAATAAATAAATTCTTTTAAAAAATCAACACAACTCACATGGGACTCAGTGAGATAGCCAGTTAGTAGAAAAGAGTAAGGTCCCTAAGATCTAGTAGTGGCAAAAAATTAAGGGATATTTTCAAGGCTAATTTTACATATTTCAATTGTCTTCTGACACCAATTTAAAAAAACTCAGGATACTCTACCTGCATCATATGTGCATTTTCAATTTTAGCTTCCTCCAATTTGGGCTGTAATTGGACAAGCTCCATTTTCATTTCTCCAACCTAAATAGACAGTTTGCCATTAAGTTTTCATAGTGACATAAGCTACAGAATCTAAACACAGAAAATCGAAACTTAAATGTATCATAAGGCATCAGGGCCAGAAAACCTTAACTTTTCCTTCCAGTTCTTTATATGATAAACAAAACCATGAGGGCATGGTCAGTTTTCTTCACAAAAGACTTCATCGTCCTCGAGTATAAGACAGAGCAGTGAAAGAATGCAGTTGTCACGGAAGAAGTGCAGACAGAAAGAAGGTGGCAGCTTGGGATGTCCATGATATAAAATGCAAATGGATCATCCAAATCTGCATTGCTTCTACTTAACTAATGCTAATAAGAATCATTAGCACTTGACTCATTAAAAACACACACACTCTTATATTTAACCAGCTATTACAATTAAAAAAAGGCAACCCAGGCTTATTGTATTCTCTCCAAATGTCACAAACTTAAGAACAGGGGCTCCTGGGTGGCTCAGTCAATTGAGCATCCAACTCTTGATCTCAGCTCAGGTCTTGCTCTCAGGGTTGTGAGTTCAAGCCGCACATTGGGCTCCACTCTGGGCATGGAGCCTACTATAAACAACAACAACAACAACAGGGGTGCCTGGGTGGCTCAGTCATTAGGATCCCGAGGTCCCGGGATCGAGCCCCACATCGGGCTCCCTGCTCGGCGGGAAGCCTGCATCTCCCTCTCCCACCCCCTCTGCTTATGTTCCCTCTCTCGCTGTGTCTCTCTGTCAAATAAATAAAATCTTTTAAAAAAATAAAAATTAAAAATTAAAAAATTAAAAATAAACAACAAAAAATAAGAATAAAACAGGACATATTTGAGTCTGTATGGAAACTTAGTGAATTTCTCTAAAACTCATGTTACTCATCTGTAAAATGAGGATCATTAAAGTGTCTACCTCATGGAGTGGTTATGAGGAAAAACTGAAGGAATGCATGTGAAGCACATAACACAGTGCCTGGCACATAATATATTCTTCATAAATTATAACTCTTGCTATTTATGATTTCCTATATTTCCTATTATATGTTACCATTTTGAGAAGCTCATCAAATTTACCTGAGACTCAGCAAAAGCTAATTTGTCAAGCCCATTCACGTATCGTTGTTTTGCTTCCATGATAGATTGCCGCCTCTTAGTCAAAAGCTGTCGAAATGAGGCAATAAGTTCAAGATAAGAAGTAGCTGTAACATAGTTACGTCGTCCTTGCTCCTGCAAGAACCTAAGACAGACAGATAGCATATCTTACTCTAAGTAAGGAGCTGCACAAAGTAAGAGGTACTCAACATGGCATCAACAACAAACCTAGAAGAACAAAGGTTAATTTTACTTAGAAGCTGCTGCATACTTGAACTTTATAACATTCTAAGAATTCTACACATAACCACATCCTGATTTCTTGTCTGTAAAATATCAAATAGCAGTGATGTGTTTAAAAAGCACAAATCACCAAAGATGTATCAAAGGTAAACAACAGCAAAGAAAGATGTAGGTCTTTTTACATGTTTCATAAGCCAGGAGGGTCTAACTCTATAAAAAGACCCAAGATACAGTGTAAGCTAGGGAAGTATAGTAGGAAGGGGCATTGTAGATAGGATAGCAAGGGTGAGTCATCATTCTTTGCACAGAGTGTGTCACGTTGGCTGAATGGGGTCTGACCAGAAGGGTAAGACTACTACACATACACATGGAAACAACAGAAGCAATGTTTTCTCACAGCAAGTACACAGAGTAGGTTGAGCCTACTGCTGGTGCAACCATCAAAGTCAACCATGCCACCAGGCTGTATGATTCTGGATAGGAGATATACCGTGAGCACTTGGGTTTATGTGCTTTTGAAATGGGGAACTTGGAGATGAACAGAGGTAAAACGGATACTTTTGAGTTATCCACAGCCAGTTCTGCTTTTCTGAAAATTTCTATCCAGTGGCCCACCAGCAATATTTGTTCTATGAAACCTGCCATCTTAACCATGGCTAATTAGACCAAGGTTGGGCACTGGACACAAATGAGGCTGATCACATTTTGGAATAAATTTGGCAAAGGGAGCTGGAAAAGGCCCATCAGTCTGCCTAGAGCTGAAATTGTAAGAAGTAAACCTGAGGCAGACAGTTTCCTCCATATGCAATGGGAAGGAGAAAACTCAGCCTGCCAGAATACCATATCTCATTTATACATGGAACCTAAAAAAAAAATTAATTCATAGAAATGGAGCACAAATTGGAGGTTCCAGAGGCAGGAGGTGGTGGGGCGGGGAATGGGTGAATGTGGTCAAAAGGTACCAACCTCTAGTTATAAGGTGAATAAGTTCTGGGAATGTAATGTACAGCATGGTGACTATAGTAAACAATACTGTATTGTGTATTTGAAACTTGCTAAGAGAGTAGATCTTAAAAGTTGTCATTACAAGAAAAAAAAAGAGGTAATGTTAACTAAACTTATTGTAGTAATATTTCACATTATATACAAATATAAAATCATTATGTTGTACAGCTTAAATTTATATAATGTTATATATCAATTATATCTCAATAAAACTAGAAAAAAAATCAAAGAAATACAGAAAAAGAAAACGCAGTCTGCAAAGAGCAAGAAGCAGATGCCCAGAAAGAAACAGGATGAGAAACAGACGAAAAGTATTTCCGGATTTAGGATGACTTTCTAACTCCTGTTTCCAGTCACATCTGTGATCCAGCTGTCATCTTTCTCTTAAGCTTGTGAGATACCACTGTATCTTTATCATAAATTCTCCCTTTTTCTTAAACCTAGATTAAATAGTTTTCCATTACTTGCAAGCCAAGGTCCTCACTAATTAAATGATCAGAAATATTTAGAAGACATAGAAATCCTACTGAAATTTTGAGCTTTCAGAAAAAGAGACATGTTAAAATACAAGGCATTATTGGCATTTTAAAATTTAGTAATATTAACCTTTCTGATAGATCCATAATGGTAGTGTGAAAGTGTTTGCAGATTGGAACTATCTCTCGCCTTTCAACCTCAGTAAGCTCCAGTGTTTCTAAGAATTTCACAGCTACAAGTTCAAGGGCATCTTCAGGCCATGGCTAAAAATAAGAAAAAGAGAAACTTAAGAAATTTGAGTAGTTCCACTCCAACTATATATGTGTCTTCCTGTGAGAGAATTTGGGGTAGAGAAAATTAAAACCTTAATGGGGAAAATAGAATTGGGTGGGCTGAGGTCACAGGGAAATCTGGGAAAGAGCTAGTAAACATTTTTATACTAAAATTAAAGATAACACAATATAAAGGAAGGGTCAGTGATACTTTACATATCAAAGATATACTATACTGCTCCTAAACTCTTCCACTTGGACATCAAGTAGACACCCCAAATTTAGCAGGACAATGGCATAGGCTGCTAGTTGCCCACCTAAAAGCTATCCGCCCTTTTCCCTTAGAACCCCAATTTTATTCTAGATAGCAATATGCCCAGATAAAAGACCACATTTCCTATATTCCCTCGCAATTCACAGGAGATAAAGGCATATAGGCAGCTGTTGGGTGGGGACTTCAGGGAAGACTCTTTAAAGGGTTACATAGAGGGGTGCCTGGGTGGCTCAGTTGTTAAGCCTCTGCCTTCAGCTCAGGTCATGATCCCGGGGTCCTGGGATTGAGCCCCACATTGGGCTCCCTGCTGCGGGAAGCCTGCTTCTCCCTCTCCCACTCTCCCTGCTTGTGTTCCCTCTCTCACTGTCTCTCTCTCTGTCAAATAAATAAATAAAATCTTAAAAAAAAAAGGGGGGGTGCAAAGAGCTGGTGTGTGTCTTTTTGCCCTAATTTTCTATTATTCTACTTTTTGCCTGGGACACAGATGTGAAAGTTGGAGCTCCAGCAGCCATTTTATTTTATTTTTTTATAAGATTTTATTTGTTTGACAGAGAGAGAGACAGTGAGAGAGGGAACACAAGTAGGGGCAGTGGGAGAGGGAGAAGCAGGCTTCCCGCTGAGCAGGGAGCCCGATGTGGGGCTTGATCCCAGGACCCTGGGATCATGACCTGAGCCAAAGGCAGACGCTTAACAACTGAGCCACCCAGGCGCCCCATCCAGCAGCCATTTTAGACCATAAGATGAATTTGAGGGTGGAAACCACATGCTCAGGAGAATAAAGAAGAAAGAACCTTAGATTCTGATGACTTTGTTAAGCCATAAAAGCCCAGTCTGTTTATCTTCAGATTTTTTCTCTGAGAGAAAAAAACTTTATATGTTTAGTTTAGGTTTCTTTTCAAGATTTATTTAATTATAAATAATTAAATAATTAATTAAAGATTTCATTATTTATTTGAGAGAGAGAGAACACTCAGTGGGTAGGGAGAGGGTGAGAGTGTCTTAAGCATACTCCGCGCTGAGTGTGGAGCCCAACACAGGGCTCAATCTCAGGACCCTGAGATCATGACCTGAGCCAAAACCAAGAGTCAGACACTCCACAGCCTGCACCATCCAGGTGCCCCTAGTTTGGGTTTCTGTTACTAGCAGTCCATCATAATTCCTAACTGTTATAACATCCAGAGCTGAAATTTTGAGTTTCTTCTCCCCAAATTTGCTTCTTCTTCAGTCTGTCTCAGTGAAATGGTTCCTCTGCTTTTCCCGGAATATGGCAACTGTACTCCTGCCTCTGGGCCTTGGGACTTGTTATTCCCTCTGACTAGAACCCTCCTCACCTAGATCTGCATGTGGTTCTCCTTCACATCTCTACACAAAGGTCAACTTACTAGGAAGGACTTCCCAGTGCACTCATTCTAAAACACCATTCCCTCTCTCATTTCTCTTTTCCTTGTCCTGAGTTTTCTTCTTAGCACTTACTAATACACGATATAATTTTTTTTTGTTCATTTGTTCATCATCTGTCTCCCCTGACCACTAAAATGTAAAATCCATGAAAGCAAGGACCTTTTCTCACCGCCATTATCTTCAGTACCTAAGACAGCCCCTGTCAATAATTATTTCAAATTTTTATTAAATGAAATAATTTATGTTAAATGAATAATTAATCTTTACTTGCTCATTAGAGTAGTTTCCAAATTTCATTTAGATTCAACAAGATGCTTGTAATTATTTTCTTTTGTATCAGACAATATTCATTTTAAGATCTTTTTTTTTTTTTCAGTCTCTGGTCCTCCATCCTAGTAAAATTCAAACATTTTTTACCTAGCACCCCATTAGTAAAGTTTTAAGCACACACTACCAGTGTATGCATATCTACAAATAGATTGTATTTATGTTGTACTAACATATTTTTCAAACCTCAAAAGAGGCTTCTAAAGATTACTGAGATCATTGAATTTTTGTAAAATGCCAGAGTAAGTGTCATATGAGTTATATATCACTGAAAGCATCACAAAGGTTTATCTTTCTGTTCTGGGTGATTCATTTTTAATTATCCTGCTAATTGTGAAGGGTTTTTTGTTTATTTTGTTTTTAATTCAGGGCTTGAACTCACAAGCCTGAGATCAAGACCTGAGCTGAGATCAAGAGTCAGATGCTCAACCAACTGAGCCACCCATATGCCCTAATCATGAAGGTTTAATAACTAACTGGGCAACTAGAATATTTATGGCCAAAGTGACAGAAACCAGTTTTACTGTGTCTTCACAAAAGGGATGTATCATCGTATAGAGTTGTCTAATTTAGAAGCTCAACCATGTCATCAACGATCCAGTTCTTTCCATCCTTTTGCTCTACCATTCTCAGTTTATTTTATCCTTGGGCTTGTCCCATCCTGGTGGCAAGAGGACTGCTGCAGCTATGGACATTATATCCTCAAGCAACAAGTTTGAGAGACAGAAAAGGCCCTTTTCCTACCATGTAACTCTTCCTATAGTGAAAAAACTATTCCCCAAAGCTCCCCAGTAGACTTGAACTCAGGACCCATGGCAAGGAGTGGGTCATGAACAGACTCATGCATAAACCAATCAATAGCAAGAGGCACAAGAGCATCAATACTGACTTAGACCAACCAGGAATCAACCCCTCTGACACATGGCTACATGGAGGGCGATTTCCCAGACAAAATCAGAATTCTGTAGGCAAGGATGAAGTGGGTAGAGAAGGGCTGTTGACAGGAAACCAACAGTCTCTCCAATGCCATCATTAGCTAATATTGCACTGTATGATATACTCCTGTGATAAGGTTTGTTGTTTCAAGTCAGTATCAATCCCTATTTTAAATAGCCTTCTTAAATTTGTCTTAACTAATACCCTGTCAGATCTCATTAAATAGTCATTGCTTTTGCCTCATGACATGGCTGACACAGAGCTCAAGCTAGCTTATGCTGGTTTATGCCATTCTCTTACATCCACTCATAATTGCATTGTATCTTCAATGTTCAATTTATCACAGGGATCCCTCAGGTTACCTTACCTCCTGTCTATGACCCATGGCCATCTGACATATAAACTGAGTAAGGGTGTCAATGTTAATCCATATAAAATATTTCATACAAAAAATGAATATTGGGGCGCCTGGGTGGCTCAGTCGTTAAGCGCCTGCCTTCGGCTCAGGTCATGATCCCAGCGTTCTGGGATCGAGCCCCGCATCGGGCTCCCCGCACGGAGGGAAGCCTGCCTCTCCCCCCTCCACTCCCCCTGCTTGTGTTCCTCTCTCACTGTGTCTCTCTCTGTCAAATAAATAAATAAAATCTTTAAAAAAAAAATGAATATTCCAGGGGCACTTGGGT